GCCTAGGCTAGCCTCAAACCATCCAGGGGTCTCTTACTTTAGCCTCTTAGGTGTTGGAATTATAGGCATGCATTAGCATGCATGTCCCCAAGGTCTTTAGGATAGCAGCCCTCTTTAATAATAAAAAAAGATTCTGGGGGGGAGGGGGCTGGAAAGATGGCTCAGCAGTTAAGAGCACTGACTGCTCTTCCAGAGGTCCTGAATTCAATTCCCAGCAGCCACATGGTGTCTTACAACCACCCGTAATGAGATCTAGTGCCCTCTTCTGGTCTGCAAGGACACATGCAGGCAGAATACTATATACATAATAAATAAATATTTTTTAAAAAAAGATTCTGGGAAGAAGAAGGCTGAGAAGAGATGCCAGCCTGCCATCCAGGGAGCAGCATGTACTGGCACACAGGTAAAGCCATGGAAAATATGGCAACATATAGATTAACGGAAATGGTTTGAGTTTAAATGTAGGAGCTAGTCAGTGGTAGGTCTGAGCTAATGGCTAAGCAATTTCAATTAATATAAGCCTCTGTGTGTTTACTTGGGTCTGAGTGGTTGCAGACCTGGTGGGACACAGGAAAACTTTCAGTTACAAATGGCGCCAACACGTGGGGCAAGAGTTTTAACCTAAAACCTGAGAAAACTTAAAAAAAAAAAAGATTTTAAAACGGAGCTAAAAACAGCTTTCTAGTTGTGTCTCTCAGGCAAGCCGTGAGCTACAGTATGGCAGGCTTGCAGCAGCATGTAGGCTTGAGTGCAGCATGGTAGATTTCCACCTTGGTGCATAGTGGCAACTCCAAGACATACAGTGCACTGTGTGGCAGATTTAGCTTTTGCTAATACAAAAAAAAAAGTTTCTGGGCTACATGCTGCTGGATGGAGGCACAGACCCACTGCTTCCCAGAGTCAGCAGTGACCTGGTTCCCAGAGTTGGTGGTAAACATAGTTCTGCCATGTTGGAAAGCTGAGGTGGGTGGAGCCAGCAGCCCAGGCTGCCATTTCAGTCCTAGTAATGCTGCAGTCTAAAGCAACAGATTCACAATAAAGCAGATTCAGATGGGGTAAACCCTAAGCAGTTTACAATGTGTGTAAAAATGGACATAGGCTTGGAAGGGAGAGGAAAAGAAATCAGACAGTTATATAAAGAAATAATTTTTAAAAATAAAGTCTTTAAAGAGACAGTAAAGATAATATAAAAAGTATGCCATGTAAAGATGGATATTACAGAGAGAATCTGGATTATATTGTCTTTGAGATTTTTAACTGCAGGGAGACATTTGATTGTAAAAGCTGCTGAGTTAAATCAATATGTATATTTCAAAGATGTCTTGATTTCAAAATCTGTATCTAAGGATACGTTGCTTTGGAAAAGAGGTTCTGCTTTTGTTTCCACAGAAGATGGGAACCTCTGGATTGCTTCCAGCTAATATGGTTTGACCAGCTAAGACCCCCTGAAAGGTCTCCAATGACACCATGGCCCAGATGATACAACATCCAGAATGGTTTCAAGGCAACTGGCTCAGACAGTGCAGCCTCACAGACTGTTTCAGTCAGGACTTGACCATAATTCTTAATTGTTTCAGGATCCCCATAAGATAGCCAGTGCCCTCTATCAGCAGCAACTAGCCTAGAAAACTACGCCCACATTCCCCAAAAATAGATTATGGATGTTTGTCTTTGTTTAGGTTGTTGGTTACAAATTGTTATTGGTCATAGTCAATCTCTTTCTAAAAGAAGAAAGGAGAATATGATATAGAAATATAGGATACAGATATGATAGGACGAAAGGGTAGGTTACTGAATCTACTTTTAAAGACCAACAACTTGTTTGAAATGTTTTACATTGCTATGGATTTTATTTTATTGATACAAATTTAAATTTAATTTTGTTATACTGTATGTATATTTCTACTCTTGTTTAAAGTATTTTGTTAGGGCTGGGGGTGGGAGGAGGGAGGACAGGGAAATCTGTGGTTGACAAGTAGAATAAATAGAAAATCTCTTAATAAAAAATAAAAATAGAAAGTATTTTGTTTGTGCAACTCATTTGAAATTGTAGTGTATAGTTGAGAAATACAGATCAATAATTAGTCATCCATGATAAATCAAGCTTATAGTCATGTTAGTTAAGTTTTCTAGGTATACATAGATATATTTCAGTTAGGTATTCAGACACTTCAAAGACCTACAGAATATGGCATTTAAAGTGTTTTTAAAACAGACTTTCTGGACAGTGAGACATATCTGCTCCTGGCAGCACTGATTTACTTCAAAGAGAAAGATGGGTATCGAAGACACTCCATATGGAGTTTATCTTCTTGGCAAAAATAGCCATTTGGGCAAGAAACTGTTCTTGCCTGGACTGCTTGACAAAATGTTGTATCGACTGGACATGCAAGAAGGTGACCACTGAACTTTGCAAGACGAGATGGTCCTTCAGGTTCCTGCTTTGCAGAAGAAACTACCAGACATTCTACAGGACACAGAGAAAAGCAACTGAGAGACCCTAGGCCTGTGGGCTGAAGAATGGATGCCCCAACTTTGCAGAAGAACTTCAGATGACTGTCCAGGCAGCCAGCTGTCTCTGTCATTCTAGATTTTTGAAAGTTGCTTACAATGTACTTCCTGTTTACTTAGGTAATATTATATTCCTTCTGAGGTCTTTGATGTAGTTGAAGACTAGATAGTTATAATTTTCCTTGGTTATGATAAAAGATAAGTTAGATATGAAACCATAGACTCACAGATATAGGATAAATAGAATATTCTCTTTAATTTTGCCAAATACAAATAGACTAGATATTGTAACTGTAATTCTTGCTTGATAACTGTCTGGTATATGTAATTTTACTATGTTAAAGTTAAACCCCTCCTTTTTGATTAGACAGAAAAGGGGAGGTGCTGTGGGATGTTCTGTATGCTGTGAATGTGTTGCTCTGATTAGTTGATAAATAAAATGCTGATTGGCCAGTAGCCAGGCAGGAAGTATAGGTGGGATAAACAGGCAAAGAGAATTCTGGGAAGAGGAAGGCTGAGAAGAGACACCGGCCTGCCATCCAGGGAGCAGCATGTAATGGCACACAAATAAAGCCATGTTGCAACATATTTATTTAATTAAAATAATAAATAATAATAATAAAAATACGACACAGGACGGGCATGGTGGCACACACCTTTAGTCTCAGCACTTGGAAGGCAGAGGCAGGTGATCTGTGTGAGTTCAAGGCCAGTCTAATCTACAGAGTGAGTTCCAGGACAGTCAGGCTACAAAGAGAAACCCTGTCTCAGAAAGAAAAAAAAAATTGTTTGGTGGCTAGAAAGATGGCTCAGTGGTTAAGAGCACTGGTTGCTCTTCTGAGAACCCTGATTTAATTCTCAGCATCCACATGGCAGCTCACACCTGCCTGTAACTCCAGTTCCAGGGGATCTGTATTCAGCATGTACATGCTGCACAGACATATATGCTGGCAAAACACCCACACACACAAAAAAAAAACAGTAAATAATTTTTTTTAAAAAGATAGGACTCATCAGGGTATAGTGGCACATACTTTTAATCCCAGCACTCAGGAGACAGCGGCAGGCAGATCTCTGAGTTTGAGGCCAGCCTGGTCTGCAGAACAGAGTTCCAGGACAGCCAGGGCTACACAGTGAAACCCTGTCTTGAAAAGAAAAAACTTTCTCATCCCTTTTTCTTTTCTTTTTTCTTTTTCTTTTTTTTAAGTCAGAGTCTCACTGTTAGCCCGTTCTGGCTTCCAACCCTAGGCAAGGAGAAAGGGAACAAAAAGGGCTATTTGCAGCCACATGCTTCTCAGGCACCATATTGAACATAATATATATCTATGTCAGCTTCCTCCGCATAATCCATGACCCACAATATCCTTTCTGAAACAGAGAAAGCATTATTTTCTTTTTTCCTTTTATCTCTCTCCTCCAATGAAATTACAGAGTTCTCCAACTTGCCTGTCCTGTTTTTTGTTTTGTTTTGTTTTTTCAAACTTCAATAAATTGCCCTTGAGTTTTCTTCTGAATTTAAGTTCTTTTATCTACCAAACTAATACTTCTAAAAGAGACCCTGTGTTCCTCAGTACCAGGACTTTAGGAGGGGGTAGAAGATCTCATACCAGCCTGGGCTACATAAAAAGACCTTGTCACAAAGGGGGGAAAAAGGCCAAATAGTATCAGCTGCCTTAGTGTGTTTTCTGTTTCTGTGATAAATGTCACAATATCACATGATTTCTGTGATAAATGTCAAAAGCAGTTTGGTGAGGAAAGATTTATCTGGTTTACACTTCCTTGTAGCTTGAGTTCTAATTGGTCTTAATAATAAAAACCTGGAGTTAGATATCAGGGTGAAAGCCAAAAGATCAGAGAAGCAGAGCAGCCAGCCACTAGATTTCTTAACTCTAGGAATCCTCAGACTGAAAAGGGCTGAGCTCTTCTCTCTGTCCTGCCTTATCACTTCCTCTCTCCGCCCAGCCATGTCACTTCCTGCTTCTTCGTCCCAAGTACTGGGATTAAAGGTGTGTGCTACCACTGCCTAGCCTCTAGTGTCTAGTTTCGCACCCTGATCTCCAGGCAAGCTTTATTTGTTAGAGCACAAACAGTATCATCACACTTTCGGGTCACAGTCCATCATTGAGGGAAATCATGACGGAACTCTAGGAGGAGCAGTTTTTTACTCACTTGTTCCCGCTGGCTTGCTGGTTCAGCTTCCCTTCTTATACAGTGTAGGCCACTTGCCTAGGAATGGCACTACCCACCGCCCACAGTGGGCTGGGCCTTCCTGCAGCAATTAGCAATTAAGAGATGACCCACAGACCTGGTCACAGGCCAGTCTGATTTGGAGAGTTCTTTAGTTAATGGTTCTTGTTTACAGGTTTGTGTCAGGTGGATGGCTGAAGCTAATTATGATAACAATTACACAGTTTTGAAACCTTGGTTTAGTGTTGTTCCTTTGGATATGAATGATAAATTCTTACTTTTTTTCTTTTAAATGTTTCTAGGAGCCCAAATAGTTCTCCTAACCGACAGCTCAAACCTGGAATCATTTCTGCCCAAAACATCTACAGCTTTGGCTTTGGGAAGGTAAGAGGTTGCCACTCCTAGCCAAGGTTTGCTGGTCTAGCTAGAGAATCATATGACCGCATCTCTCCACCTCATTCAGCTCTTCTCTTTTTTGGGCGTGAGGTTTGAGGTAGGCTCTCAGACTTGCAGCAGTCCTGCGTCTGCTTCCCAGTGTTGGGATTACAGTTGTAAACTACCTTATTCACTCTCTAGAGCAGGCTAAATCTGGTAATTTTCTCCCCCGCTCTGGAAAAGCAAAGGTCATTCATTCATCCAGCTATGTTCCCCAATGGACTCTTTCTTTAACTGGCAGATACTATTTGTCCTCAAAACATTCCTCAATTCATTAAAAGCATTTCAAATGTACTCATTAAACCTGTGGGAGGCAAGGCCATCGGGAAGCAAATCAATAGAGTTGGCACAGCTCTCTGCCAAGGGAGAGTGTCTGGGACCTTCGTGAGAATTAAAGAATCTAGGTCCTCTTGCATCCTAAGCAAGTGCTTTGTCTCTGAGTTATATATGATACCAGCCCTCAGTTCCTCCCTCCTATCCTCAGAATATTTTTTCTTCTTCTTTGCTCTTTTGCATTGTAGGAAAGATACTTCTTAGTGTTCTTGTCCTTACTGAAAAATGGTAAACACCATATAGAATTCATTTGAATGACTGTGGCATGATATGAAGTGTGTAGAAAGTGATCCATCCCACTGGGGAACGTTGCTGGGTGAATGAATGACCTTTGCTTTTCCAGTCTCTATTGTTTCTACCAAGGAGCTTGGGGTTGAGGTAGAGGCAAAAATAATTTTGGCTTTCTGCCCCTCTCCTGTTGGTGGGGGTGAACCCAGGACCTCTGGCATGATATGCAGCTGCTCTACTGTGGAGTTGTATCCCCAGCACAGGTATGTTGACTTTTGCTGTACACAGGCCTGGATTCTGGAGAGGTCACGATAGGCCTCTGTCTTTGTTATATTTCTATTGCCATGACAGAACACCATGATCAAGGCAACTTATAAAAGAAAGCATTTCATTTAGGTGCTCATGTTCCAGAAGATTAAGAGTACATGACCTTATGGTAAGGAGCATGGCAACTGGCAAGGTAGGCATGCTGCAAGAGCCCTAGCTGAGAGCTCACATCTAGTCCACAGCACAGGGCAGAGAACAGAGAGCTGACTGGGAATGGAGTGCACTTTTTGAAACCTCAGAGCCCACCCCCAGTGACACACCTCCTACAACAAGGCCACACCTCTTAATGCTTCCCAAACAGCTCCAGTAAGTGGGGACCAAACATCAGTTCTCATTTAGACTACCACAGTCCCCTTAGTCCCAGTTACATCATTTGAGGTAAGATGTTGGACTTCGGTCTGCGAACCACCTCAGTAAAAGGGAAAGAATATTACAGAATTCAAAATAGTATAAAGTTAATTGTGGATCATGTAGGATCATGCCTATGATGCTACCCTTTAGAAGGATGTGTCATTGTAAAAAGAAATGCCAGAAGCTTCATGAGATGGCATACTCCTGTAATCCCAGAACTCAGGAGGTGAAGGCGGGGAGATCATGCGTTTGAAGTCTGTGTGAGCTACATATTGAGATCTTGTCTCAAAAACAAGTAGTATAGCTGGGCATGGTGGTACACACCTTTAATCCCAACACTTGGAAGGTGAGCAGGCTGATCTCTTTGAGTTTGAGGCTACTGTGGGCTACATAGTGCTAGGCCATGTCTCAAAATTCAGCCAACCAACAACAAAGACAGTACATAGATGTATTTACTAAGTAATCAGCAGCTCTAAGCCAAAGTGACAAGACTCTGCGGGTATTTTGCTTTCCCAGTTTCTTCCCTCGCAATTTAAAGCTGTTCCTTGGTTTCAGTTTTATCTCACTCCAGGGATGCAGCTCACTTATCCAGGATCTCTTCCAGTAATTGGAGAAAAGGAAGTGATTCAAGCTGATGATGAGCCTACCTTTTCTTTCTTCAGTGGCCCCTACATGGTCATGACCAAGTAAGTGGGAGCTGGCCAGTGTGCCCTGGGAAGAGTGGCTTCCTGTGAATTGATAAACTCACATGTGTTTAAGTTAGGGTTTCTCACTGTGTGCATTTTTGGCCGGCTGATTCTTTGTTGTGGTCAGACTTGTGCATTGTAAGATGTTCAGGAATGTGCCTGCTCTCTGCCCATTTGGGTACCCTTAGCAGCTGTTCATGCCCCCCTCAGTTGTGACAAGCAGACTGTCTATAGACATTACCAAATAGCCTCTATCCAGAGAACAGCTGCTCTGAAAAGGTTCGAATTTCAGTATGCTAATCTTTCTGCTTTCTAAAGAATTAGAGGCAGCAAGATGGGGATTATCTTGCCTCTGGAATGGGCTGTGGCTCTCACCAGCCAAATCCAGGGATCGTGGCAGTAATAGGATTTGGAGATGACAGAAACCTCTTGGATGTGTTCACTCCTCAGAGACCTAGTCTTTGCAGGGTCAGAAGAGCTGCCCTGGCTTTTAGAACCTGGATGCTTCTTTCCTCCTTAAAGGAACACACATGTGAAAAGCCTCTGGAGGCCTCACAAGGCCCCTTGCCCCCTTGTGTTTCTACCCACGCTGTGAATGTGTTGTCAGGCCACTCCTCCGCTCCACCACTGTTGCTACTGTCTGTCCTGATGGCCTCTTACCTGTGCTCTATTCTCTGGTCACAGCCGCCCTCTCCATTTGCCACACTGCTGTCACCACTGTCTAACCTTAGGAAATTACTCTCTTCCCTTGAGTCCTTCTGTGACTTTTGCCCCACCTAATTCTCCAGGGTGCTTTAGACCCTGGGAGGTGGTAGGAGGGAGGATCCAGCCAGCTTAAGGGACAGTAGAGATTCTGTGGTCTGGGTCTGTGGGAAGGAAGACTGGTTCACGGAAGCAGTGGCCGCTCAACCCCTCCTTGCACTCTCTCCACACCTTTTAGCCTAGTGTGGAACAGGAGCCGAGTCACAGTGAAAGAACTGAACCTCCCTACCCGTCCTCACTGTAGCAGGCTGAGGTTGGCCGACTTGTTGATAGCTGAGCAGGAGCACAGCAGGTAAGAAGGAGAACCAAGAACAAGACCCACTACAGGGCTGGGTGGTGGTGGCGCATGCCTTTAATCCTAGCATTCAGGAAGCAGAGGCAGGAGGGTCTCTGAGTTTGAGGCCAGCCTGGTCTACAGAGTGAGTTCCAGGACAGCCAGGGCCATAATACAGAGAAACCCTGTCTTGAAAAAACAACAAAAAATTGCATATAAAGAGAAAGAGGGATTAATGAATAGTATGAAGAGTGTGGATTGTGACGGTAAGGGGCTCAAGTGTCAACTGTCCCATAAGTTATGTCTTTGGATGAACAGGCTCCAGGACCATCTGGTTTTTCTACTGTGGCCCCTGAGACCTGCTCCATTTGGGACACTGTACCCACCAGGAGAGCAAATGACTGTCCTGCTTTCACAGAGCATAGCAGTCTGTGAGATCAGATGTCTGAGAACCACACCTCCACTACTGAGTCTCAGTTCCAAAGGCTTCCTAAAGTTCTAGAGTTCTGTCATTTAGGTCTTGGTGAGTCAGACACTGGATTATTCCACTTAGCCCTGCAGAAGGTGTTTCTAGATAGGTGAAACCCTTGTTTTTGAAGAAGCTAGCCTGAATGACCCACACAATCTGAAAAGACAGGTAGATAGGCATGGTGTATGCTTTGACATGAGGCTGAATAGGTATGTGACTTTGGACACATTACCTTGACATTAGCTACCTCCTTTTTTTTTTTCCTCTAGAACTCACTCTGTAGACCAGGCTGGCCTCGAGATCCACCAGCCTCTGCCCTGCCCTCTAAGTCCTGGGATTACAGGCGTGTGCCACCACTGCCCGGCTGGCTACCTCCTTTCTAGAAGTACTCTACCACTGAGCTATATCCCTAACTCTTAATTGATTACTACATTTCCTTTTGTTGTTGTTGCTTGTTTTTTGAGACAGGCTTTGTGTAGTCACCCTGGCTGTCCTAGAATAGATCTGTAGACCAGACTGGCCTCAAACTCACAGAGATCCACCTGCCTCTGCCTCCCTAGTGCTGGGATTAAAGGTGTTCACCACCACTGCCTGGCTTGGTTATTACATTTCTAAAGTAAGTAGGAGGGTGCATGTCTGAGATGATGTATGCAGCTTATGCAGGGTGTCTCAATTAGGATTTCTATTGCTGTGGCAAAAAACAATGACCAAAAAGCAAGCTGAGGAGGAAAGGGTTTATTTAGCTTACACTTCCGTATAGCTGTTCATCGTTGAAGGAAGTCAGGACAGGACCTCAAGCTGGGCAGGAGCTGATGCAGAAGCCATGGAGGAATACTGCTACTAGCTTGCTTCACTTGGCTTGCTCAGTCTGCTTTCTTTTTTTTCTTTTTCTTTTTTTTTCCAGCCGCTTTCTTATAGAATCCAGGACCACCAGCCCAGGGAAGGAACTACCCACAATGGGCTGCTGCCCCCAACCGCCATCAGTCACTAATTAAGATCTACCTTACAGCCAGATCTTACGGAGGCATCTTCTCAATTGAGGTTCCTCTTTCCAGATAACTCTAGTTTGTATTTCAAGCTGACATAAGACTAGCCAGCACCCAGAGTATCTTGTTTTGTAGGTTTTGACAACATTGTTATTATTGCCACTGATAACTCTTAAACCTTCAGCTTCTTCCAATAGATGTCTCCCCTTCCAGAACTCATTTTATTTTCTAACAAAAATGCTGTATATAAATTGTATTTTGTTGGCTTTCGTTTTTCTGTATGTTACTTGTTTTTGAGACAAGATCTCATGTATCCCAGACTGGACTTGAGCTCACTATGTAGTAGAGGGTGACCTTGAGCTTGACCGTCTCCTGCCTTCCCCTCCCAAGTGCTGAGATTATACGTTGTGCCTCCGTGCCTGGCTGTGAATGGGATTTGTTTAGAATGGGTTCAGATGACATAAAAGACTGTCACCTGCGTTTTCATCATGCTCTCATATGCCCTGTCCCTTATGAATGGGATTTGTTTAGAATGGGTTCAAATGACATCAAAGAAAGACTATCTCCTGCGTTTTCATCATACTCTCATATGCCCTGTCCCTTATGAAGCTTTTAATCTTGTGTAGCAACCTACGGCACCCCAACCTGCTGCAGCTGATGGCTGTATGTTTGTCCCAGGACCTCAAGAAAATTCGCCTGGTTTACGAGCGTATCACAGTCGGCACACTGTTTAGTGTCCTCCATGAACGAGTAAGTGGTCTTTCTGTAGATTTCCCCAGTTGCTCTCACTCTTCTCCCTGCCCTCTTCCGTGCCGTCTCTGCAGAGTTCTCATTTAGAAGATAGATCTGTAAATCCTTTTCATGGATTGCATATGGTGTAACATGCCAGATAAGACTGATAAGCACATGTTGGAACTAATGGGATTTAATTCTTTTACATTGATTGATCAGTTGATTGATTTGTATGTCTTGTCTGTCTGTGTACCACCCCATGCCTGTGTAGGTCAGAAGACAACTTGTTGGAAAGAGTGTTTTCCTTCCACGGAGGGTTCCAGGGATTGAACTCAGGTCACCAGGCTTGGCAGCAAGCACCTTTACCTCTGAGCCATCTCACTGGTCCTGATACAATAGTCTTCCTTCTTTTCCTTCTTTCATTAAACAAATTTTTGGGGTGTGGGTACATAACATGGCACAGTTGTATGTGTGGAGGTCAGAGGATAACTTTGTGGACTTGGTTCCCCCTTCCCCCTTTATGTGGGTTCTAAGTAATAAAAGCAGGTCCTCAGACTTACATCACAACTGCTTTACCTGCTGAGCCATCTGCTTGGCCTTGTTTTGTTTTGTAGTGAGACAGGCTTAACTATGTAACCCCGACCAGCCTCAAACTCATGACCTTCCCACAGCTCAACCTCCTAAGTGCTGGGATTGCAGATTTGTACCACAATTTCTGGCTTCTCAAGTCTTGCTTTCTTATCAGCCCTATAGTAGCTCAACAGAGCCAGAAATATATTGATGCAATTCTAGCCGAGCCATTGGCCACAGGTTCACATTTTATTTGTGCTCTGTCCTGGTTTGTTACTCTTTTCTTCTCACCTCTCAGATTTCCTTGGGATGGAGGAGTATCTCCATGATTGACAGATCTGGTGGCTGAGTGTTCTTTGGGCTGGGATATGGCTTCCAGGAGTTCTTTCTCTGTGACCTTATTCTAAATACCATGGCTGAGGGGCTGGAGAGATGGCTCAGTGGTTAAAAGCACTGACTGCTCTTCCAGAGGACCTGGGTTCAATTCCCAGCACCCACATGGCAGCTCACAACTGTCTGTAGCTCCAGTTCCAGGGGACCGGACACCCATGGCAAAACACCAATGCACGTAAAAAAATGAAAGTAAATACCATGGCTGGGAGTAAAGAGAGACGCCCCCCCCCCATGAGTCTCTCTTCTTCATCTGATAGGGCTATTGCAACTTGTAGATTCTCTGCAACTTGTAGAGTCCTTTAAGCTTCCAGGTTCTCCCAGCCCCAGAATTGGATAGGGAGGTGCCAGGGCAGATTTACTGGTGCGAGTGAAGGGACCGCCCCTCCCTGACAGTTTCCCCACGTTAAGCTGGAATGCAGATACCAAGTTTAGAGTACTTTGTTCTAATTTGTTAAGCTAGAAAGCAGCTTACCTGTAGGAAAGGAGCTGAGGTTTGCAGCCAGGGGCCTGGATCAGTGGAACTACAGATCAGTCACTTAACCTCACTGGCATTTAGGCTCCCCCTCTGCTAAATGAGAATACCGGGAAGTGTGAGGACCAAATGAAGACTTTGGAAATGACACCAGGAGGTCTTTTCTTTTGTTTTTGGAACTTTCTCTCTTGCTTGCAGAGGTCCCAGTTCCCAGTGTTGCACATGGAAGTGATTGTGCACTTACTGCTCCAGATCGCTGATGCCTTGATATACCTACATTCCCGAGGCTTTGTCCATCGCTCCCTTAGCTCCTACGCTGTCCACATTGTCTCTGCAGGAGAGGCAAGGCTGACCAACCTGGAATATATGATGGAAAGGTAGGTATAGCCTCCAGTGTAGCTTCTTTATGAAGAGGGACTCCCTGGGGGACCTTCGTTATAGCGCTGAAATCTAATCTGTTCGGGTTTCATAATTGGTGGTAAAATTGTCTGTCAGCACAGAAAGATTTACCAAATGCAAAGACTATAGATAGACTGCTTAAAAAAATGTGTCTTTGGGCTGGAGAGTTGGCTCAATGGTTAAGAGCACTGACTGCTCTTCCAGAGGTCATGAGTTCAATTTCCAGCAACCACACCGTGGCTCACAACCATCTATAATGAGATCTGGTGCCCTCTTCTGACCTACAGATATACATGCAGGCAGAACACTGTATACATAATAAATAAATGTTAAAAAAAAAAAAAGAAAAGAAAAAAATGTGTCTTACATTGTTTGTGTGTATGTGTGTAAGAGAGAGAGAGAGAGAGCGGGAGGGAGGGAGGGAGGAGGGGGGGAGGGGGAGGGGGAGGGCAACTTATGGTACTTTCCTTCCACCATGTGGGTCCTGAGGATGAAATCCAGGTCATCAGGCTTGCTGTCAGGAACTTTCCCATTGAAGCCTCTCACCAGTCCTCCTTTTTGTTTTCTGAGATGGGGTCTTGTGAGTAGCTCACTAGCATGTAATTCAGGCTGGACTTGAGTTCACAGTCCTCTTTCCTCTGCTTCTCAAGAGCTGTTGCAGGTATGCGTTGCCATATCTGGCTGCGAAGTTACTTCTGCTTAAGGCAGTCTCATTTTCTTTTTTCTTTTTTTAAAATTTATTTATTATGTATACAATGTTCTGTCTGCATGCATCCCTGCAGGCCAGAAGAGGGAGCCAGATCTCATTACAGATGGTTGTGAGCCACCATGTGGTTGCTGGAAATTGAACTCAGGACCTCTGGAAGAACAGCCAGTGTTCTTAACCTCTGAGCCATCTCTTCAGCCCCCTCATTTTCATAAACATGTAACATGCCTGTATTAACCAATGTATATCATAGCCTCTTTGCACTCTAAAATTTTCCACTTGGTACAACAGAGTTGTATTATCTTTTGGGTTTTTGAGATAGGATTTCTCTGTTTAGCTCTGCTTGTCCTGGAACTCCATCCATGCTCTGTAGACAGCCTTAGAGAACTTCTTGCCTCTGCCTTCAGAGTGCTGGAATAAAAGGTGTGTGCCACGGCCCTGGGCAGAGTTGTGTGTTCTTACCTTGTGATCTATTGTGTGTGTTGAAAGGGCCTTGTTATACATCTCTCCACTAGTGGCCAGCCACCCTTACGGCCTCAGCTGCCCGCTGCGTTCTTTGCATTGCTAGTCAGGGAGTGAGAGAAAGCATAGAGGTCCATAGTCAGATTCGGGGCCAACCAAAGTGGGCACATCACAGCTTCTCACTGTGCTCTGGGCCAGAGCCAATTACCTTCTTACTGAATGGAGACTCACAAGTGTACCTTAGCTATACAAGAGAGGAGGTGATAGGCACCAGTGAGCCTTATCTTCGGTCTTATCTTCTGCTGAATAGCAAAGGCACACTGTTCCTTCAAGGGACCCAAGCACAGTGGGAGACACTTAAAACAGCTCCCTTATTCAAACACTGGTAGTTGGGCTTAGTTTCCTACTGGGATGAGGCCAGAGACTGACTCTTAATTCCCCATGCCAGGCTCAAGGAGGCAGAGGGCCTCTGCTGTACATCCTCAATGCCACCCACAGCTCTGGGCCTTTGGCACCACGTTGGTTCTGTTCTGGACACTGCTCTTAGCCACTGGACAGACTCTACTCACTTACACCTTCTTTCTTTGTCCGCTCACCACCCATACCTGGTGCTGTGCTTCTGAGTTGCAGCATGATTTTGCTGCTTACATTCCCCAGTAATTTACTGCTGTCACTACATGCAAAGCTCAGTGAGGACAGAAATTTGTTTTTATTCTCTGCTAGCTCCCAATTGCTGAGAACAGGCCCTGACTCATGGGCACTCAGTGGGAATGAAACAAAGTTTCTTACCTTTCTTTCTTTTTTTTTTTTTTTTTTGGTTTTTCGAGACAGGGTTTCTCTGTGTAGCTTTGCGCCTTTCCTGGAACTCACTCGGTAGCCCAGGCTGGCCTTGAACTCGCAGAGATCCACCTGGCTCTGCCTCCCAAGTGCTGGGATTAAAGGCGTGCGCCGCCGCCGCCGCCGCCGCCGCCGCCGCCGCCGCCGCCGCCGCCGCCGCCGCCGCCGCCGCCGCCGCCGCCGCCACCACCACCACCACCGCCCGGCAGTTTCTTACCTTTCTATACACCAGTGGTTCTTGTGCTCTGTCTTAAAGGAGGGCAGGGGCTAGCTTGTGCTTGGTCCTGAGGACCTTGGTAAGGACTCTGAATTTTACCCTAACCATTGAGATACTGTGGGACATGTTTTTAGAGTATTAGAGTATCATAGATGATTTATGGGTTAAGAATCTCTCTGGCTCTTGTGTGTGAAGGGCCTGTGAGAGCAAGAGAGAGACAAGGGATCAGAGAGGGCGTGACTGGAAGCTGCTGGAGTTTTCTATGAAGTAGCAACAGAGGTCAGGTGGCAATGGTCAGTCAAGCCTCAGGTTTGTTCTTTCTCAGTCCTAGTTCAAATCCTTCAGGGTGGACCAGTGAGATAGCTCAGCAAGTAAAAGTGCTTGCCACACCAGCCTGACACCCTGAGCAGGAGCCCACAACCCATGGTGGAAGGAGGGGATTGCCACCTGGAGGCTGTCTCTCCCCTGCCCACCCCAGACAAGATTTTTCTGTGTAGCCTTGGTTATCCTGGAACTCCCTCTGTAGCCCAGGCTGGGCTCAAACTCAGAGATCCACCTGCCTCTGCCTCCCTAGTGTTGGGATTAAATGTGTGCACCACCACCACCACTTGGCTGTGAAAGTTATCTTTTGATACCACCACCTGCACGCATGCACAAAACAAAACAAACAAAAACTTTGAAAGGCTCCTTGTTGCCTGCAGGAATAGGTTCCGACAATGTTTTGAAGTAAGGAAGCCATCCTAAATGTGCACACTTCCTAGGAGGGGCTCTGATAATATTGCACTGTCATCCTTACCCACTTCTACCTGGTTAGTTTCATTCACCTTTTTGAGACAGAGTCTCAAGTAGCCCAGGCTAGCCTCACACTTACTAGATAGTCAAGAATGGCCTTGAACTCCTGATCCTTTTGCCTCTCCCTCTCAAGTGCTGGGGGTCTAGGCCTTTGCTGCAGTTCTAGACACTTGCTGGTTATTTGAACCCACTTTCAGTCTGTTCCCTTTCTGTGTTGCTCACCATCTCTGCCATATCTAGTGTGCTTTGTATATACTTATTCTCCACACTTGCAGTTTTCTTTTCTTTTTAATAGTTATCATTTTGGTTTTCGAGACATGGTTTCTTTTGTAGCCTTTGGCTGTCCTGGAACTTGATCTGTAAAACAAGCTGGCCTTGAATTCACAGACTTCAGCCTGCCTCTGCCCTCTGAGTGCTGAGATTAAAGGTGTGCACCATCACTGCCTGGCTAAAATTTTTATTATTATTATTATTATTATTATTATTATTATTGTTGTTAGTAGTAGTAGTAGTAATAGTAGTAGTAGTAGTAGTAGTAGTGAGGAAGGGTTTTCTTTTTTTTAAATTTTATTATGTACATAATGTTCTGCCTGCAGGCCAAAGAGGGCACCAGATCTTATTACAGATGGTTGTGAGCCACCATGTAGTTGCTGGGAATTGAACTCAGGACCTCTGGAAGAGCAGCCAGTGATCTTAACTGCTGAGCCATGTCTCCAGCCCCCTAAAAATATTTTTAAAGTATATGTACATGTGTGTAACTGTCTCAAAAGGACAGCAGTATCAGATCCCCTTAGAGCTGTAGTTATAGATGGTTGTGAACAACCCAACATGGGTGCTAGGAACTGAACTGGGGTCCTTTGAATGACCAGTATGTGCTTTTAACCATTGAGCCATGTCTTTAGTCCCATTTTTTGGGTCTTTTTTACCACTAAGTCTTGCTATGTAACTCTGGTTGGCCTGGAATTCATTAACTAGTCTTGACTGGCCTCAAATTTGTAACAGTCCTGGTACCTCTGCCCCCTGAGTGTTGAGATTATAGTCATGCCCAGATCTAATTTTTTTTTTTTGAGACAGGGTTTCTCTGTGCAGCTCTGGCTGTCCTGGAACTCACTCTGTAGACTAGGCTAGCCTGGAACTCACAAGAGATCCACCTGCCTCTGCCTCCCAAGTGCTGGGATTAAAGGCGAGCACCACCACTGCCCAGCTCCCAGATCTAATTTTCAAAACATGTATTTGTGTATGTGTGTGTGTGTGCATGAGGACCAGAGGTCAACATCATGTGTCTTCTTAAGTTGCTCTCTACCCCAGGGTCCTCTTGTCTCTGGATTCCCAGCACTGAGATTGTAGAGAGGTTGGGAACATCAGTCTTCCCCAACAGGAAGTTCTCAGCACTCAGTGATAAAAGAAAGACTTATTTTATTAGCACACAGCTGTATCCTGTAGCTATTGCTTAAAGATGCCTATCCCCATCAGAAATATTTCATGGTTTATATAAGATTAGGTCTTGTCATGATCTGTGACCATTATCTTTTTGTCTCCACCCCAAAGGAGAAAACTCCTAACCCCACCCCAGCTAATCAAGTTTTACAGAAGCTGAAATTTGCAAGGTTTTACTTAAGACAGCTTTATCTTTAGCAAACAGGACTTGCTGTCTAAGCAGATGTTGGTGTTGGTCACTTCCTAAGGGAGATGAGCAGATGTCACCCTTTCCAGAAAATAAGAATGGGCAAGCAGGTTCACAAAGCAGAAGCCAGCAGTTCAGTGTTCGCTCTGTTGTCTCAGATCAGAGGTAGTTTCTTATTCCAATGTAACCTCATAATTAATATTAAAGCTTTCTATCTTCTTTCCTTCACCCCTTCCCTTTGGAGGTGATTAATTTCATATAAGGCTCCAATTTTATAATTCTGCTTCATCAGGAGCCCAATCATCCAGGGTCCATCTGCTGTGTTACTAAGTAGGGGGGA